CGTATGCCCCTATTCTTCACACAGGGATAGTGCACAAGAATGATCCAACCCCGAGACCTCACAGGCACACACGTGACTTTTATCTACATACCTGCTTAGCATTTCCAACCCAGAATGTGAGAGAGTGGAAGTGGAGAAATTTGCCTCCTTCGGGCTAAATGGAATGAAGAAGAGTTAATATGAATCTACTGGGTTTTGGGTCTCACTTTAATGTCATCTTCATGCAACACTTTCAAGCTGACACGGTCTCTATTTTAGCAAGGAGCAATGAGTACATCTAAGCCATCCTTAGATTGGTTTAGATCAGGGGTTCTCAAACTTCATTGCACCATGACCCCCTTCAGACAGAAAAATTACTACATGACTCCAGGAGGGGGGACCGAAGCCTGAGCCCGCCCAAGCCCCACCATCCCAAGCGGGGGGGGGCAAAGCCCAAGGGCTTCAGCCCCAGGTTGGGGGCCTATAACCTGAGCCCCGCCACCCAGGGCTGATGCAGTGGGGCTCGGGTTTCATCCCCGGGCCCCAGCAAGTCTAACGCCAGCCCTGGTGACCCCCATTTAAACATGGTCATGACCCACTTTGAGGTCCCGACCCACAGTTTGAGAACTGCTGAGTTAGAGAAACATGTTGTGACTGCACATTTAGCATTTGAAATAATAAAACCAGGGAAAGCACAAATCTAAGACTAGGTGATAAAATATACACCCAGGATATCTGAAATTAACCAGTTTTGCCGGGTTGCAAATAATTTGAGGCACTCCCACCTCACAGGGTTTCTGAGGAGCCCTTACAGAGCTCTGATGGTCACTGGGCGTTGACCCCCAGAACATGGGACTTTGAAAAGCTCGGGGGGGGGGAGGGGGTGTTATACATTTCAAGCAAAACAATTAATTTTTCTTCTAAATATTCAACAGTAATTTGTCTAAAAACAAAGTCACCAAAAGCTTATTTATAATATCTGGGTGCCACTCGTCAAGGTCAATATGGCCTGGCTGGATCAAATCACAGCACCTTAAAAGCATGCTCTAGAGGAAAAATTCCAGTGTGGGTGAGGAAGGTGCTACTAAAATATTCACAAGCCAGGAAGGAGCAAAGCTGGAAAAAGTTCCATGAATAATTTACAGTGGGGTACTTTCCCCTCATGATTCTGGAAAATAATATTTTGGGGTCCATCTGTGGAGTGAAGAACACACAGCAGCCAATCCATTCAGTCATTGCTTTGTCTGTCACTGCTAGACCTGATTCTGTTCTCCCAGCCTTGCAAATCAGGAGTGCTTTCACTTAAGTCAATTAAGTCACATGTAAAATCCGTTCAAATGAGAACAGAATCAAGCCAACGGGTCAAATTCTGCTCTGAGTTACGCAGATTGTAATGGGGACGGGTTGCAGAGAATAATGGAAAATAGAATTTGTGCCACAGTTCAAACAACCTGCACAATTGTTTGGATCCAGTATGAGTTTGTTAACCTTGTTATGTTAAAGATTAATTCTCATTGAGGAAAGCTCTTACCCAACTTCAAATGTGGGTCCAAATTACAGTTTGGGAGTTTAACAAATTTATTTGGAGTATTTCATAACATTATTTGGTCAAACACTACTTTAATAAACAGCTTTTCTTCCTTGCCTATGATTTGACATCTGCTGTCTTCTGTATTGTCATTTTTAATCACTGTTAATTATTTGTGCATGTACTTTGCATAAAATATATAAAATAAATCGGTGTTATGTGGTATAGTATTTAGCAACAAAACATAATTTTGCTGTATGCATCAGTATTTTTTTAAAATGCTTTAAATTTGAAAAAAAGTTTTGAAAATATATTTAGAGTCATTAGTGAGAAATAATACAATAAAGCATGCTTATGTTTAGACTTGGAAGAGTTAGATTTTCCTTGATAAATGTCACTACTCTTACATTTCTCCTTCCTCCCTCCCCAAAAAAGTGAAGAAAAAGGATTTGCATCATTAATTGCAATTTACAGAGAAGGAAAACTATACATATAAACAGTGTTTCAACACTATAAAACTGGAGCGCCTTTTTGCTTTTAATCCTACCTGGCAATCAATGAATAAGAAATTAATATGATCAGTGTTGCAGTAACAGTACCAGTCTTTCGCTGGAGGGAATATAAACCCATTCCATGCAATTGTATTCTTACCTTTTCTCCTTTGTCCGTGTAAGTTGTCTAAAGAGAGAGAATTAAAAAAGAGAGACATATTCACATTTCAAAAATGTACACTAATCACCAGAAAACTGTAATCCATCAGGTCAGTTTTTAGAAAACACATTTTCTGAACTACTTGAAACATAAATATGAAAAGCCCAGCTTTTCAAAGCATAAACAGTACTGAGAGTAATTGTGCAGAAATAAATCTATCCAAGCACAGTGGGAGATTTACTCTTTTACCTCCACAGTGTGTTGGCAGCAAATTTAAAAAAAAAAAAATTTCTCAACCTCACCATTTTTGTAACCTGATTGAATGTGATAGCACCAAGAGACAGTCAGACTCTTTCAATGCATTTAATATAGCAAGAGGAGGAGAGAAAGCCCCTCCCTGACTCCACCTTCTCTAGATTGTAAACTAAAATGATTTACTTGGTTTGAATTGGTTTACTTGATTTGAATCATTCTGCCCATAGGGTAAGACATGATGAAATGAGCTGTGCAGGGAATAGTATCTGGAGTTCATATACCCTGCAGCGTATCTGTGAGTCAGATTATCTAAGGAAAGCCTAAAAGAAGGAGCCAGATTCTCATAGACTGTGGGGTAAACCCAGAGTAACTCCATACTCTGATTAACACCAGATTTCACTGAGCTTAGTCTGTGGACCACACATCAGGTACCATCTCCTTGAAGCAGGGCTCTGGCAGGACCAGCCTCTACAGATGTTTGCTGCAGAGAGATTATAAAAACAGAAACCTTACTTGAGGGTGGCCATGGATTGCTCAAGGAATTGGCAGTGGGAAAGGGTGCTTTTCGGCTCTAGATTGCTGTTTCAAATCTAGAATAGAATAGCAGTGATCAACATTTATTATTTGATGGCTGTGCACTGTACACCAATGCTTTCCACCATTATATCTGATTGACACCAATTAGAGGAAAATCAGGCCCCTCGTGGAACTGGGAAACCCTGTTATAATACGGTTTCTTCTTCCCTGTGTGGACAGAAATAAACGTGTTATAACCAAGGTGTGACAGGTTGCAGGCAGTCAACTTGGGCCCCAGCAAACATGGGTCCTCTCCTGTGACACAGGAGCTGAGGGGCTGCTTGGGAGACAAGGAGAGAATACTTTTGGCATGGACAGGGCTGAGGTCATAGGACTCAGCTGAACCCCAGCTAAGGAGTTTTATGTTTTCTCGCTTTTGCTTCTTAATTTTGTTTGATTTGTTAGTAAGGGAAAGACACAGCTGACTGTGGCTGAGTTTGTTTTTTCTGCTGAGTCCTTCCATCAGTTCACACTGTTGTCTCCTCAGGGACCAGATTGTCCAAGCCCAACAAGAAGAGCTGTCTCACAGCTGTGCCTGTGTGAGCACTGGAGCTGGTGTCAGGCATGCCCCAAGAAAATATTTTCTTTTTTTCTTCATTCCCCACCCTCCCTCAAACCACACTCACCAGCAACCCAACTGGAGTGGGAGGAGAGACCTATCGGACTATGGCTTAGCCTAGCTGTCTGCCAGAGTTCAAGCACACTTCTTTAGCATGGTGTTTTCTGTCCAGACAAGTAAGAAAAAATTGTCATCTCTGACTGTATTTATTATATTTGGCTGAAATCCCATTTTCCTTTTCAGTTCAAAGTCAAATCAATTCAAGCATTCTCTCCTCTGCCCAACAAGGAAATAATCAAAGCTCCAGTCATCCTTGTTATGAGATTTCTTGCAAATAAAAAACCTTGACAAAACAAAAACACATGCCCCCAAGAGCCTCCATCATGCCACAAACTAGAAAGTAGACTTACAGAACAGCCAGGGTCTAAAAGTTTGACAACACGCAGCATAATAGTCACCTTTTCAGCTCTTGCAGGAGCTGATGTTGGGAACCTACAGAAGTGAACAGTGTTTCTCTCATGAAACTGATTAAAAACATGTTTACCTAAAAGACTGAAAAGATAAGAATCCCTCCACAGCAGTCAGAAGATCAAAAACAAACCCACAAGCACATCCCCCCCACCAGCCCGCCCTATGGCACTGATTTAAGCCAGCACTGCAGAACTCTTCAGTTCAAAAGCTATCTGCAAACATTCAGGGGCAACAAAACTAGGAAAAGCTGATCAGGAAAGGCTTTAAAGCATGTAAACTGCTTCAATGAAACTGGGCGTATGTGCGATCCTGAGAAGGAATTTGCCTCTCCCGTTTGTACCACATGATGATGAGCTACAGTAGCGTATACAAGGCCTGCTGCCCTGAAGTCTGTCTCCATTACCAAATCTCTCTTGCACGGTGGGGGGGGGGAAGGAGGATTGAGCATTCAGCGGCACAATTCAAAGAAGCCGAAACTCGGCAGCATTTTTCCCGCTGATTTTTCTCTCCAGATGTTCGCACAACTGGCGTGGAAGGTGCTAGAAGGATATAAAAAGAGGCAGTGACCGGGCGACGCCAGCTCTTTTAAAGCGCTTGCAAGTGACTCCAAAGTTCTTCCATTTAGAAACCCTCACGAGGGACAGGCTTGTTGGGGTGGCTTGTCCCGTCCCCCCCCCCCAGGGTCGGTGCATCTCAGCAGATACTTTCTGTCTGGGCCTGCCACCCGCTCCGCACAGATGCATCTTCTCCGGGCGCAGCACCCTCTGTGCCCTACGGGAGAGGCATCAAAGGTGGGCACGGACCCCCCTGCACAGCGGCAGATGCATCGTCCCCCCCTGAGCCCCCCCCACCTCCCAGGTGTGTGTCTGGCTCAGGGAGGGCGGGGCCTGCTCCACCCGGCTCCACCCACCCCCGCTCGCCCCGCCCACCGCCCAGGGGGGCGGGGCTGGTCCCTGCGTGGCTCCGCCCCCCTCCCCCGCCCTGCGGCGCGGCGCGTGAGCCGCTCGCGCGCGTGCGCGGGGGAGGTTGCTGGGCTCGAGCGATGGCGGAGGAGGCCGCCGGGCCCGAGGCGCTGAGCGTGCGCGAGGTGCAGGAGCTGGTCCGCAGGAAGGATGAGCTCGAGGCCCAGATCAAAGCCTGCTACGCCGTGCTGGAGGGGGTGAGTGCCCGCGGGGGCGGGGCGCGGCGCGGCGCGGCGGGGGGCACCCGGGCCCTGCATCTGCCCCGCCCCCCGGCGCGCACGGGGGGTGTCTGTTCACGCACACGGGGCTCACTGCCAGAGCGCGCGGGGCCGGCGGGGGCGGGGGGGGGGTCTCTGTGCAAAGCGCGGCTGTGTGTGAGGCGTGTCAGCCGGGGGGGGGGTCTCTGTGCAAAACGCGGCTGTGTGTGAGGCGTGTCAGCCGGGGGGGGCCGTGCAAAGCGCGGCTGTGTGTGAGGCGTGTCAGGCGGGGGGGGTCTCTGTGCAAAGCGCGGCTGTGTGTGAGGCGTGTCAGGCGGGGGGGGGCCGTGCAAAGCGCCGCTGTGTGTGAGGCGTGTCAGGCGGGGGGGGTCTCTGTGCAAAGCGCGGCTGTGTGTGAGGCGTGTCAGGGGGCGGGGGGGTCTCTGTGCAAAGCGCGGCTGTGTGTGAGGCGTGTCAGCCGGGGGGGGGGCCGTGCAAAGCGCCGCTGTGTGTGAGGCGTGTCAGGCGGGGGGGGTCTCTGTGCAAAGCGCGGCTGTGTGTGAGGCGTGTCAGGCGGGGGGGGTCTCTGTGCAAAGCGCGGCTGTGTGTGAGGCGTGTCAGGCGGGGGGGGTCTCTGTGCAAAGCGCGGCTGTGTGTGAGGCGTGTCAGGCGGGGGGGGGTCTCTGTGCAAAGCGCGGCTGTGTGTGAGGCGTGTCAGGCGGGGGGGGGGTCTCTGTGCAAAGCGCGGCTGTGTGTGAGGCGTGTCAGGCGGGGGGGGGGGTCTGCGATGCCCCGCCACATACGCAGCCCCGGGGCGGGCCTGTGCCAGCCTCGGACTCTGCAGTTCCCCGGCGCTCTCGTTCAGCCTCATCGACGAGCTGCGGAGACGCCACAGGTGCCGTTTTTTTGTTTGTTTGCCCTTTAAAAAACGGGAACCCGAGCGGGCTCTTGAGGCGAGGTCGGTGACCGCATTTCTGCCCCGCAGCAGAAGGGAGTCGGGATGCACGAGCCGCTGGTCGATGCTGAAGGGTATCCGCGTGCCGATGTTGACGTGTACCAAGTCCGTGCGGCCAGGCACAACGTTATCTGTAAGCAGTTCTGCCCTGAAAAGTCGTCCTTCGCGGGGGCTGAGCGAAATGAAGGGGACAACGCTTGTCAGAAGTTTGGCTTTTTGTTTTGCAAACATCGGGTTTGGTTTTTCCCCTTGGCAAACGTAAAGGAATAAAACTGAGAACTCTGTTAGCAAAGGGACATTATTGATTGGAAACTCAGCTGTTTAAAAGGATGAGTTTCTTTAGTTTATTAATAACAACTTAATAAAATTCAGAATTGCAACCGTTTTTATAGTAATAACGTCCTACTGCTGTTTAATATTTTCCAGGGCTGTCAAGAGATTAAAAAAAAATCATGATTATTTGTGCGAATAAAAAAAATTAATTTGATTAATTGCACTGTTAATAATAATTTATTTAAATATTTTGGATGTTTTCTACATTTTCAAATTTATTTCAGTTACAACACAGAACACAAAGTGACAAGGCTCACATTTTTTATTACAAATATTTGTGCTGTAAAAAACAAAAGAAATAGTATTTTTCAATTCACCTCATACAGTTCACCTCATTGCACCTCATACTGTAGTGCAATCTCTTTATCATGAAAGTAGAACTTACAAATGTAGAATTATATACAAAACAAACAAACCTGCATTCAAAAATAAAAGTATAAAATTTTAGAGCCTACAAGTCCATTCAGTCCTACTTCTTGTTCAGCCAGTCGCTCAGACAAACAAATTTGTTTACATTTGCAGGAGATAATGCTGCCTGATTCTTATTTACAATGTCACCTAAAAGTGAGATCAGGTGTTCGCATGGCACTGTGGTAGCCGGTGTGTCAATATATTTACATGCCTGATGCGCTAAAGATTCATATGCCTCTTCATGCTTTGCCCACTATTCCAGAGGACCTGCGTCCATGCTGATGACAGGTTCTGCTCGATAATGATCCAAAGCAGTGTGGACGAACATGTTCATTATCTGAGTCAGATGCCACTGGCAGGAGGTTGATTTTCGTTTTTGGTGGTTTGGTTTCTGTAGTTTCCACATCAGAGTTTCCACATCTTTTAAGACTTCTGAAAGCATGCTCCACACCTCATCCCTCTCAGATTTTGAAAAGCACTTCAGATTCTTAAACTTTGGGTCGAGTGCTGTAGCTATCTTTCAGAGGAACAGCCGTGTTAGTCTGTATTCGCAAAAAGAAAAGGAGTACTTGTGGCACCTTAGAGACTAACCAATTTATTTGAGCATGAGCTTTCGTGAGCTACAGCTCACTTCATCAGATCTGATGAAGTGAGCTGTAGCTCACGAAAGCTCATGCTCAAATAAATTGGTTAGTCTCTAAGGTGCCACAAGTACTCCTTTTCTTTTTGTAGCTATCTTTAGAAATCTTACATTGGTACCTTCTTTGCCTTTTGTCAAATCTGCAGTGAAAGTGTTCTTAAAACGAACATGTGCTAGGTCATCATCGGAGACTGCTATAATGTGAGATGTATGGAAGAATTCAGGAAAAAGGGAGCAGGAGACATACTATTTTCCCCAAGGAGTTCAATCAAAAATGCATTATTTTTTCAACGAGTATCATCAGTATGGAAGCATGTCCTCTGGAATGGTGGCCGAAGCATGAAGGGCCATACAAATGTTCAGCATATCTGGTATGTAAATAACTTGCAATGCTGACTACAAAACTGCCATGCGAATGCCTGTTCTCTCTTTCAGGTGACGTAAATAAGAAGCCAGCAGCATTATCTCCCATAAATGTAAACAAACTTGTTTGTCTTAGTGATTGCCTGAACAAGAAGTAGGACTGAGTGGGCTTGTAGGAGCTAAAGTTTTACATTGTTTTGTTTTTGTGTGCAGTTATGTAACCAAAAAAATTCTACATTTGTAAGTTGCAGTTTCACGATAAAGAGATTGCATTACGGTACGTCTATGAGGTGAAATGAAAAATACTATTTCTTTTGTTTATCATTTTTACATGCAAATACTTGTAATAAAATAATGTAAGGTGTACACTATTCTGAAATCAATATATTTTTGGATGTTTTTCTACATTTTCAAATATTTAATAAATTTCAATTGGTATTCTATTGTTTAACAGTGCAATTAATCGTGATTAATTTTTTTGAGTTAATTGTGTGAATTAACTGCGCTTAATCGACAGCCCTAATATTTTCATTTCATTCAGTTTGGAAAATAAAAATAGTGGAGTCAGTTTGAGTTTTGTTTCTAAGCAGCTTTGCCCTCTGGTCAGGTACTACAAAAGTGCCAGTGGACTGGCTCAGTCATAAAATTGTATCTGTTAAAATGCAGTGTGCAGCATTATTAATGCACCTACTAATGATTAATGAGAACAGTCATATTGTAAAACCTTTCTGTGTTCTTTATAAAATAACTAAAACTAGTTGACATTGTTCCTTTTAAATTTAGTGCTTGCCTTGTATTTGTGGACAAATGTATTATAATAGTCATTGTTTAGAAATAAGTGTTGTATTTAGCGTGTGATTTAATGGAAAGGGGATTTGGTTGCTTAGTGTTCTTTATGTGGACATTGATCTCCCTAGTCCATATTCTCTATCTACGCTATGGATTTTTACTGAATTTGTAACATGGCTGTTTCTTCACAACTGTGTATGTGTACTGTGTATCACTGCTGCTCATGAGCAGGGCTGTGAAACAGCTTTCAGTCTGTAACCATGGCACTGTCAGGTGATGACTGTTGTAACTGGTTATCCTTACACAGTGGATCCTGTAGTGTATTTGGGGACATTGACTCACTCCCATAGATAGGTAGTCAGATTTAATATGGTTCTCAGGTGGCCACACTGGACAGGGAAACTGAGCTAGGAACAGCTATGCTAGCTGCACAAGGTTGTTAGCACAGTTTCATTCACAGTGTAGGCCTAAGAGGAACAAAATACTTTTAATTGAAAGCTAAGAATCTCAGCCAGAGAGAGATGCATCTGTTAGGTAAGGACTTTAAATGAAAATGTGATTGTTCCTGTCTTCTCTGCACTAATGTCTCTCGCCTTTAGGTTTACAGAATGATCACAAGGCCCTAATGCTGCAAGTGGAAAAAGCTCTCCACCAGCTGCATGCGCGAGAGAAGGAGAAGCAGGCAAAGGATGAGGCAGAAGCTCAGGCTGAGGCAATGAATCAGAACCCGAGTCTGCCACAGCCCTTCGCAAGAGTGAATGCCATCACACCAGGCTCTCCTGCTAGCATCTCGGCAAGTTCAGTCATCTTGCTTCCAATGGCACAATCTCTGCCAGTTGGGCCCCAGATATGGCAGGTGGCCCTCCCCACTCACCTGCAATCAGGAGCAGGGTTTGAGCTCCTGTTGTTAAACCAGATTCTTGCCAGGTGCTTGTAACTTTCCTGGTGGACATAATTATACTCGTTAGCCTGGACAGTGTAAAATATGCATTGCTGTAACCTGTAGAGCCATGGCCATGTTCGAACACCTAGCTAGTGGGTCGGGCATGGGGGTGGGAATCAGAACTCGTTTTTTCCCCAGCTCTCCAATTGACACACTGTATGACTTGGGTAAGGCCATGTCACCACTATGTGCTTTGGTTTCCCCATCTCTGTAGCAGAAATAATAAATACTACTCCCATATTTCTCTGGGGGGTTGTGAGGCTTAATCTACTAAATTTTGAGAAGCACTTTGAGATTCTTAAATGGAGGCATAACCTAGATGAGGGGTGGGAAACCTTTTTGCTATCACGGGTCATTGACCCACAGAAGTTAAAAGGAAGGCTCTGATCAAAAGCCCCCAGCCCTGCCCCTTCTGCCCCCCAGCCAGAGCCCCAAAGCCCCTCGCCACTGCTGCCCCTAGCCCTGCCCCAGGCTGGGCCCCCAGTCCCAGAGGAGCGCCGGGAAGGCAGGCGGCCCCTGGAGCGCTAGCTGGAGCACAGGGGGTCTGGAGGAGCCGCACACTGCACAGCAGTAAACAGGAGCAAGTGGAGCTGGGCAGGGTGGAGCATGGGCAGGTCAGTGTCTGGCTGTTTGGGGAGGCACAGCCCTCCCCAGCCTATGGGACACTCCACCCATGCGCGGGCCAGATGAAATTAAGCAATGGGCCAAATGCAGCCCAGAGGCTGTAGGTTCCCCACCCCGTTCTAGATGAGTGTTCATCAGGTGTGTTAAGGTCCTTGGATGAAAGATGTTATATAAACACAAAGCGTTGTGTATCTTTGAGGACAAATGATGCTTAGTCTCCTGTTGCTTCTTTGTAAAGGGATTACAGGTTGATGATGAGATCATTGAGTTTGGCTCTGTCGACACACACAACTTCCAGACACTGCAGAATATTGCCACCGTGGTGCAGCACAGCGAAGGGGTGAGCAGGTTACCAGCTTCGGCTGAGTTCTATTTGCAGTCTTTGAACAGAAGGTTAGATATTTTTTCGTTTGTGATAGTTGGAAGACACCAGTAGTCCCAGGTTGCCACTCTGGAAACCAAACATCAGGCTCATCCTGCTGCTGCTTTTGTTGTGAATGTTGACCCCATAGCTATACTGCTCAATACTATTCCTGAGACCAGCTGTGTCCAATGGAGAACAGTTGAGATCTTTCCTGGGCTGAGAGATTTGGGACGGTGTGTAAGCATCATGCTTTGTCTCTACTGAGAGTGCCTGCTGCTGGCTGATCAAGGAGTAATGGTGATAAGCTTTAGAGAGAGCTGCTTTTGACTCTCCGTGGAAGGAAGAAGAGTTACTCTGCCACATGGCCTTGAAATTCAATGTTGATAAAAGCGAAGTAATGCACATTGGAAAACATAATGCCAACTATACATACAAAATGATGGGGTCTAAATTAGCTGTTACCATTCAAGGAAGAGATCTTGGAGTCATTGTGGATAGTTCTTTGAAAACATCCAGTCAATGTGCAGCAGCAGTCAAAAAAGCTATCAGAGGGGTAGGAACCATTAGGAAAGGGATACATAATAAGACAGAAAATGTCATAAGGCCACTATGTAAACCCATGGTACATCCATGCCTTGAATACTGCGTGACGTTCTGGGCAGCCCATCTAGTAAAATATCAGAATTGGAAAAAGTACAGAGAAGGGCAACAAAAATTAAGGTTATGGAACAGCTTCCAAAAGAGGGAGTTTAAAAAGATGGTCAGGTATGTAACCCAACGCTTTGGGTGTTCCTAAACCTCTGAGTACTAAATGCTGGGATTGTGGTGGGGTGGATCACTCTATAAATAGTCCTGTTCTTTTCACTCTCTCTGAAGCATTTGGCACTGTCCATTGTTAGAAGACGGGATACTGGGCTAGATGGACCATTGGTTTGATCCAGTTTGGCCGTTCTTATGTTCTTAGGGGGACAGGGAAATGAGAGCAGGGCCAACTTGACAGGAGAAGGTGCTGTTTGTTTTCTTGCATTTCAGAAACCTCTGAGTGTGACCGTGATCCGTGGCGGCAAGAAATTACACCTCGGGCTCACACCAAAGCAGTGGGCTGGGAAAGGACTGCTGGGGTAGGCATGCTGTTTTCTTCCATAGCTTCTGAGTTCAGGTTGGCAAAGTGCATGAATAGGCATGTCATTAACCAGCCTTAAACTGGAAGATGCCTTTGCTAAGCAGAACGGAGCCTGAGCCTTCTGCCCTCCCCTGGGAATTTACCTGAGGCAGAATCCAACCTAGCTTTCTTCAGCACCAAAGTCTTTGAGTGCCACCTTGCTCATTATCAAGTGGGTACTTCTGACCTGCCTAGCAAGGCGGGGGCACTGCTGGTGCTATACAAATTGCAGTTGAACCCTGTTATGCCCCACCTGCTTTATAATATGGTTTGGTTTTCCTGCGTAGACTGGCCCAAACCATGTTGTTATAACCTTGTTACAGCCCTGGAGTATAATTTCTTCACTGCAGGAACTGATGTCAATCAGTATTACTTGTACCATGTGTGTGCCTGTGGGAAATAGGGCCCCATATGTTTTCAGGATGTAGTTTGGATCCTCTAACACTGTTATACCTGGTTTTTCAGTCTACCCCGGGGAAAACAGTCTTTGACTGGGGCACAGCTGTGTTTTAGCAGAGGCTCACAAAACTGTTGGAATTATAGTGGAGACAGGATCTTTCCTCTGCAGATTCAGCTGGGTGCAATATTCTCCTCCACTTAATGGAGTGGATAGGGCTTTCACACAGGATCAGAACCATGGATTCTGCATTAAGGACAGGACTAATTTGTCATGTGGTGTTGGGCATGGTTCACTCTGCTTTGATCACCCCTCTCAAATTTGATGATCACTTTTAGAACCTTCAGTGAAAGACATTATCTAAAGTCAGTTGTTAAAGATTTAGCTGCAGCAGCGTGGGGAGGTGCATCATATCAAGAGATCAAGTTGGGAATGGGGAAGGCTTAGCCTCGCAGCCCACTGGGGAGGCTAAAGAGGTGAGTGGGGCTCTGTTTGGTTAACTGGAGGGGAAGGGTCTGGCTATGGAGCTCTTTATGTAGTAAGCTCAAAGATTACAAAGGGGCCAGAAAAAAATAAATCTTTTTCCCCTATTTCCTCACTCCGGATTGAATGCAGAAGACCTAATTTTATTCCTTTACATTTTTTCAGCTGCAATATTCTCCCCTTGCAAAGATGACTGGCTTGGAAGACAATAAGATCAAAGTTTGTGCTTTTTGAACTCCAACCTGGTTTGAAAAGTTCCCTTTGCAACCTACATCTACTTGCTGAAGCTGGAATGTTTATGATGGGTTCCGAGGCTCTGACCTCCAGCCTGCTGGATATACTACACCTGAATTGCTTTCAACAGACTTGCACCTGGTCATGATCAGTAATTTTACTGATTCATAGGGAATAGATTGTAGAGTCATAGGACCTGATTCTGACTTCACTTGCACTGATGAAAATCTGGTGTGAGATCAAAGTGAGGTCCATGCTTTTTCTTTAGTTAGAATCCTTGCCAAATTATTCTGTAACATTTAGTGAATGTTTTTTTCTGTCTGTTCATGGGAAGTAACATTTACCAATAAAGAGTTACGCTGGGTTTTTTTGTTTTTGTTTATTGGTGATAATTTACATTCATTTTTAATCTAAAGTCCTTCCTGAACAGGTCAGCTTTTTATATTTCTCATAGCTTGGACTATAATATAGTTTTAATTTGGTGTATATTGAGTTTCTTGTTCATTTTATTTTCTGTGCTGTAGTTTTTGGGTTGCATACGCTGCAAGAGGACTCTTATTGGCTTGGTTTGTTTTTAAACCAGTTTCTATTGGAATTCTTAAAAAAAAAAAAAATGTATACCTGATTTTAGTGTAGCTGTCATAATTTTTGGAAAAGGTTATTTTTACAGAATCTCAGTTTATAAGTATAAAGTATAAGTATATTACAGACATGGATAGTATATTATGTGTGGTTATAAGCACTGGTGTAGAAGGTGTTATAGATGGTTTTAAGCCATGGCTATAAGCAGCCTATTGATCTATTAGACTCCATACCAATTAATTATTAAAACACCTATTAATTAATTAATCCTTCATATGTGGTAGGCTCATTTGCTTTTCAGCTACAGTAACTCTTCACTTAAGTTGTAGTTATGTTCCTGAAAAATGCGACTTTAAGTGAAATGATGCTAAGTGAATCCAGTTTCCCTGTAAGAATGAATGTAAATGGGGGGGGGGGGGTTAGGTTCCAGGGATTTTTTTTTTGCCGTACAGTACTATAGTTGGGAGATACCCCCACCTTACCCCACACAGGCACAGTCCACTGGCACTGGAGACAATGAGGCAGGCAAGGAGGCTGAAGGTGCTGTAGGCTGGGAGAAGCACGTTGCACAGCAGCAGCGGCAGCTTCCCCTACTCTGCAAGCACCTGGGGTGGGGGGCTCAACCCTTGGCCCGCCCACTCCACCCCTTCCCCCAAGCCTCCCCTCCTACCCCTTTACTCCACACAAGGTGTCCTCGCTTCTCCCTCCTGCCTATGGCAATCAGCTGGCTTGTGGTGTTCTGGAGGGAGGAGGAGGACACAGCATGCGGGCTCTCCCTGCCTCCCAAACACCGCAAGCCAGCTGATTGTTGTGGGCAGGAGGTGGGGGAAGGCGCTGATCCGTGGGGTCTCCCGGCGGGTGGGAGGCGCTGGGGGGGGTGTAGGGGAGCTGACGTGGGGCTGCCCGCTGTGGACAAAGCAGGCAGCCAAATGATGTTATTGCGAAGCATTGCACAACCTTAAATGGAGCATGTTCTATAATTGAGCAGAGAGGTAAGATCGAAACAACTTTAAGCAAGGAGTTACTGTATATTCTTCCTGCTTGCTGGTGTTTACGGATATGTTCAGTCAGAGGTATTGATACATGCCAGCTAGTGTAATCAACAAAGCCTGTGTTATCCTCCTTGCAAAATCAGATATAGTGTGCAGGTGGAGAGGCCTAAACTCCCTGCTTACCCTACAAATGAGGGTCCAGCAAGGGGGAACTGAACAGAAGGACCATATACCAGCGTAAATGGGAATTAGTGTTTTTGTACTAGTGTAAGAGAGTGGAATTTGGCCCTTCTGCCTAATGATATCAAGGTAGGAAATGATGGAATGAATGTTGCTGGGAGTATATAACAATCTATAATCACCAGGGTTTTGAACTAACATTGTTGATTATAACTTCAAGCTGCCACTGTAGTACAAAATAATGCTTTCTGAAACAAGAGAAAATGGGCTTTAATAAATACTAAACTAAATGAATTTTAATAAATACCAAAACTAAATGACCACTAGAAATATAAAATGGGTTTCATCTCCCTACTCCCGTGGTGTATAGGTGCTATAAACTGCTTACAAGGTGCAGGGGTGGAATCACTGCATTGGCTTTCCATAAGTGGACTTATGCTAGCCCTTGTGGAAGCCCCAGGCCAGTAGGTCTGAGAGAGAAGCTAGGGACTAGAGTGGAGATGGCAGGGGTGGGAAGAGGCAGGAATGACCACACCACTACAGTCATACTTGTTCTGCAAGCCAGAGGCTGTCCGAGGGAATCTAGAGAAGGCCATTAGCTAACCTAATTATGCCGGAGGCTATTTTTGCTCCTGGAACAGATCAGAAGCAGGAGGGGGAAAAGGTGGCTTAAAGCCACCTTTTAATTCCTTTCCCGTTGAATGCGTCTCGGGGGAGCGCAGCACAGCATAGAATCTCAGCCTTAACCTTTCTATAGAGCCTAAAACTGGCTTCACTTTGAATTTTAGCCAAGGTCCCAGCCCTGCAAATGTCCAGGTGTGTAAAATTAAAGGCAGCAGTTCCTGTTTGTATTTGCTTGCATCAGTCATTTTATTTCTTATCTCGACTCCTTAAAGTGTGCCCCGTTCCATTTGATATATACACACACACCCAAGAGTTGTTTATACTTTTTGCTTCATTGGTCTAATACAGTAGTAGCTTCGCACCTCACACAGTCAAGCTGCCTCTTGAGCTTGAAAAAAAAAACTAATGTTTCAAAGGATAACAAAATTGACTTTCAGGACTATCACGCTGCATATCGTGCATGAGGAAAAGAACTTAGATTTAGAAATCGTTATTTCTACGTAGTCAAGAGAGTTTAAACTTCATTATCTTTTAAGGGAAGATAATATTTTGAACTTTATATTTGCAAACGTGTTTTAAAGGAAGCATTACCCTGGACAACCCCTTTAGTGGATCGTTTATACAAGTGCTGTCTAACCTGAGGACCAGATGCCTTATTTCAGATAGGTAAAGCAGTCAAAGTCAATACTTTGGGGCAGATTCTCTAGCTTGCTCTGCTCCATTTGCCCCACTCGGGAGGTACAAAGAGCAGTGTTAGTGGTTGGAAGATGTGGGAGAAGAGAAAAGGGAATGAGGGAAGATGATGTAGTAGTGGCAGTTCCTGCTATTTTATCATAGGTCTCAGGGTGTTTGGAGTTTTTCTTAAAGCCACAGCTCTTGGAGTCATGTGATTACAGGAGATTCTGAAAGGCAGTGATCTGGCACAGAAAACTTGACATAATGACTTAATTATATGGGGCCTTGTGGTACTCATGTGCCATGCACTCAGCTCAGGGCTACCATCCCTCATGATGCTTCTGCTACAAGGTGAGGCCACCTGTCCCAGGGGAGTCGGGCTCTTCTTTAGAGGCTGGGTTCATGTTGTACAGGGACTCACAACAGTGGTACCTCTTGCAGGTGTGAATGGGATCTGGGTGTGGGCAGAGGGTGAAGGGATGAGCAGCTGCTTGGGTCCTGTTAGCCAGTGTCCTGCAGGGGGGAGTGGAGACGGCCTGTGTACCATGAACTCAGGAGCAGCCAGTGGGAGAAAGGAAGTACCTCCTATCTTCCACCCTCTGAGGAATACCCGCCAGCCTGGTGGTGCCTTAGTGCTCACCACTTCTCCCCTTCTCTCACCCCTACACAGCAAGCTCCTCTACAACTGATCTTTCCAGCCTGTCTCTCACTGCCTGCAGCACCAGCAGCAGTTACTATGGGAACAGGCTTCAGATACAAACAGAACAGGGGAGCTCCAGGCTGCTGAGCTGGGGCTGAGGCTGCTGCAGAGGTGAGGCTGAGAGGGGGTCTGAAAGGGAGAGGGATGGGGGGGTCCCATTGAGAGTGATTTGGGGCAAGGCCTGAGGAAAGGGGAGTTGCGGGTAAGCGTCTGAGGGAGCAAGGTTTGGGGGAGCCTGGCCAAGGGAATGGAAAGGTTTTGGAGAGTCAGAGGAGGTTAGAGGGGTGTGAAGGATGAGCTGCAGCAGCAGACCCAGGGGAAGAAGGGGGGGGAGGGGGGTCTGGATAAGGCAACAGGAACAGGTGGGAGCTAAATCATTAATATCCTGCTGAGTAATTGCCCTCACTGGAGATAAATGTGTTTTGACGGGTGCAAAAATGTGTGGTGAGCTGGAGAAAGAAAGAAAAATGTCTGTGCCCTCAGATATGAACCAGAGATGGAGCCGAGCTAAAGTATGCAGCGTGCATCATCGGGGCATGGGTAGGTGCCCAAACTCGGTGTATGTACAATATGGTGTTTGAACTGAAGGAGGGTGGCAGGGGAATGGGGAGATTCCCTGCCTCTGGTGGGGTTAATGTCCTGCTGTGGGCAGGATTAATTGATGGCTGTCAATCCTTCACACAGCAACAGCATTGTCTGTAGGGCAAATATTTTGTCTATCAGACTGTACTAAATGATGTGTATTTTCGAAAACATTTCCCAAGGGAGGAGATCCCCAACCCTTTGCATGCCAGTCTCTAATGGGAGAGTTTTATCTAGGGAATGGGCCAAAACCAGACCTCATTTTTTCATTTTGAGGTGAACCATAGGGCTCCGATTTGAAGGCTTGTATATAAACTTGTCCCTAAGGGTTGGGGTCCAGGTGGTATGTACAAGCATAAGGGATCTGTTTTCTGGTTTTAGTGTGGATGCAGCCAAAGAGAATATGAGCCATCTTCAAAAGCTCTTTGCTAGCAAGATTTCTGTGCTTTTGAACTGCTTTTGAACTGAACCTCAGCCCTTGTTTGACCATGAATCCAGACCCCAAAGTCAGCCTAAAACTAATCTGGGTCTGAACAAAGTGCCAGTCTCTAGCTTTATCCCCCTTTCTCTGAATTATTATTATGCATAGACACTGTGACAGAGGTACAAGTCTAAGAGGGAACATCTCCGCCACAAGGAACTACAGGTGCTTTAGGTACATGCATGACCGGACAGAGGACATATGTATGGTACTTCGAGATGGAATAAATGATTGTTTTCATGCTATAGAACCATCTCTGGGATTCTAAATGTTTTTGTGACTGACCTGGAAATCTAACCTGGTGTTTCTGTATCCATTTTTGTCTTCCACTTTAAAGGAATTTTAGTGCTCATAGAAGTGAGAGGGGTTGAATGGTTCTGGCTAGGATGCCAGGACTAATGTAGGGTAGGCCCCTATCTTCCTACACACAGTTCTGCCACCCTTCCTGGGCACTTATGGTAAACTTTAAGGGAATTTTAATACTTTGGACCAAATTTACATCACCAGCTCCTTTCGCTTGGGCATGTTGCACAAGATCAAAAGTATTA